GGGAAAAGTTGGGACCCTGAAACATGGGATGGGAACATATGGGCTGATGATCCAGAAGAGGAGGCTATTCAACCCTTTAGAAACAATTGACCCACCCCAGTCAATAGATCCACCCCTCCCAGCTGAAAGTATGAATTCACAGTCCACACCTGAGCAGATTAGCCAAACTATGCAAGTTGTTATGCCAGGTGGGGCTGCATCAGTAACACTGCCTGAGAAAGATGCCCTACAAGATCTTGCTAAGGGCACCCAGGAAACACCCTCACCACCCATTATTTCCGCTAGACCTGTCACTAAAATTAAGTCTCAGAAAGCTCCTAAAGGTGAGGTTGAGATGATTACCCAAGAAGAAGCATGCTTTACTCATAGAGATCTGCTCGAGGTTTCAAATACGTACAAGTAGAAACCTGGGGAATATCCCTGGGAATGGTTACTAAGGGTGTGGGATACTGGTGCACGAAATATAGTATTAGACCGGTCTGAGTTTCTGGATATGGGACCCCTAAGCACAGACTCTTCTTTCAATGTCTCTGTGAGAGAGGTTAAGATAGGATCTAACTCTTTATTTGGTTGGTTTAATGAAGCATGGACTGCCAGATGGCCTAGATTGGACCAAGTTGAAGTACCTGACCTACCTTGGTACACTGTAGAGGAAGGCATCCAAAAGCTTAGAGAAATTGGTGTGTTGGAATGGATCTATCAGGATATTCCCATAGACCCAAAAAATGGGGTGTCCTGAGGACATACCCTTTACCACAACCATAAGGAACCAGTTTGGGGCCCAAATGGGCCCCAGCATCTCTTAAGACTCCTGCAATTGCTATTTTATGTGCACCAGGATTAACAGTGGGCACTACCCTAAGCGAACTCCGACATTTGCCCACAATGGGGCTGATTGGTCCCCATGGTGGTAGAGTGCAGTGTCAGCACTGAATCAACAGAGACAAGGTGGGCGTGGTTAAAATTGACAACAAAGTTTCGATAGTAATCAAAGAAAACTGTCTCATGTGGAATTATGGCATTGGCTACTTAGCCACAGTGTCCCTAGGAATGAAATAGATGGGAAACCTACTAAATATTTATGTGATCTATATAGGCAGAAGAATGGTAGATCAGGTGAACAGCAGAATAGACAGTCACGATCGCTCAATCAATTCCCAGATCTGAGCCAGTTTACAGATCCACAACCCCTTGAATGAGGGGGAAGCCGGGTCCCTTTGAAGGAGGACCCTGCTACATCAGCGAAGGTCTATACTGTTAGTCTTTCTTCTAGCCTTCCCCAAAGGGATCTGCGGCCTTTCACAAGAGTGACTGTTCACTGGGGGAAAGGGAATAATCAAACTTTTCAGGGATGACTGGACACTGGCTCAGAACTGACACTAGTTCCAGGAGACCCAAAGTGTTTCGAAGGCCCACCGGTCAGAGTGGGGGCTTATGGAGGTCAAGTTATCAATGGAGTTTTAGCTCAGGTACGCCTCACTGTGGGTCCAGTGGGTCCCCGGACCCATCCTGTGGTTATTTCCCCAGTTCAGGAATGCATCATTGGAACAGACATACTTAATAACTGGCAACCCTCCATATTGGATCCCTGAAATGTGGAATAAGGGCTATCATGGTAGGAAAGGCCAAGTGGACACCATTAGAACTGCCATTGCCTAGGAAAACAGTAAACCAAAAGCAATACTGCATTCCTGGAGGGATTGCAGAGATCAGTGCCACCATCAAAGACTTAAAGATGCAGGGGTGGTAGTTCCTACCACATCCCCATTTAACCCGCCTATTTGGCCTGTAAAGAAGACAGATGGATCCTGGAGAATGACAGTGGATTATCGTAAACTTAACCAAGTGGTGACTCCAATTGCAGCTGCCATTCCAGATGTGATTTCATTGCTTGAGCAAATTAATACTTCTTCTGGTACTTGGTATGCAGCTATTGATCTGGCTAATGCCTTCTTCTCAATACCAATCTCAAAGGACCACCAGAAGCAGTTTGCCTTCACTTGGCAGGGGCAACAATATACTTTCACAACTCTCCCCCAGTGGTACATCAACTCTTCTGCCCTGTGCCATAATTTAGTCCGAAGGGATCTTGATCGCCTATCTATTCCACAAAATGTCACTCTGGTCCATTATATTGATGACATTATGCTGATTGGACCCACTAAGGAGGATGTGTCAAAGATTCTAGATTCATTGGTACAATATCTGCGTACAAAAGGTTGGGGAAATTAACCCAACGAAGAATCAGGCACCCTCCAACTCAATAAAATTTCTAGGGGTCCAGTGGTGTGGGGCATGTCGAGATATTCCTACTAAAGTTAAGGATACACTATTGCATTTGGCGCCCTCAACAATTGAAAAAGAGGCACAACGCCTAGAGTTCCTCTTCGGATTTTGGAAGCAACATATCCCTTACTTGGGTGTTCTACTTCGACCTATTTATCAAGTGACACGAAAAGCTTCCAATTTTGAGTGGGGCCCAGAACAAGAAAAGGCTCTGCAACAGGTTCAGGCTCCCATGCAAGCTGCTTTGCCACTGGGACCATATGATCCAGGTGACCCCCGGTGGTGCTAGAAGTGTCAGTTGTAGATAAAGATGCAATGTGGAGTCTTTGGCAGACCCCTATTGGTGAATTACAGCATAGACCGTTGGGATTTTGGAGTTTGGAGTTGTTGCCATTGCTGGGATTTTGGGTACGAACTTCTTAATATGAAATCCAAGATAGGAAATCCATAGAAAAAGCAACTAGATTAATAGTTCCTTAAGATTATGCAAGAGGACGTTGGGGGGCAATGGGGAGCTAAGAAGAGTGGGTGCAAAAATAAAGAAAATGTTTTAAAATTTATTGTGGTAAATTTTTTAAAATTAATTGATATGATGACTGCACAACTCTTTTATATATTTAAACCACTGAAATGTATGATACATGAATTATGTGTCAATAAAACTATTAATAAGTAAAATGAATAAATAGATATGAGGAAAAAACAAGGCATTAAGTCTACTGAAGATCAGGTATTAGAAAATAACCAATGTTATAAAATCCAACAAATAAAAACTCTAATCAAGTGCCTAATTTACACATTTTTTAAGCAAGGAAAGTAAGACTTGGTTAGATGTGAGAAAAGGCTTTCTGAAATACTGGGAGATACTGAAATACGTGGAGATAAGTGTGTTGGGAAGAGAGGTTGGCAAAGGCTACGATAATGACATTTGAGTCTTTCTTAGATGGCTATGGGAAAGGATTAATCCTATGACCTGAGCCACCCCAGATATAGGCTTATCTGGAGACAGGAAGGAAGATGAAAGATTCTTCCCAGTTTGGGGTGACCGTAAGAAGCCAAATACCCCTCTCTCATTATAAAGTGGAATCTTCTAATAGTGATTACTGCTCAAATCTGAGCAGTCTGCTTTGTGAGGTTTAGAGTGCCACAGGGCTGAAGAAGCACACGAACAAATGAATGACCTTTCTGCCAGGTAGTATATCGTCAATAAGCTTCAAGTAGAAATTGGGTCTCTAAGTTCCCTCCTAATTTTAGGATGTTTTCTTTCTGACAGAAACTGTCATTTAAATAATAAAAAAAATCAGGAACTATATGTGACTTCCTCCCTGGGGGACGGACAACCGAGGAGTGGGTAGAGGGAGACGTCAGACAGGGCAAGATATGACAAAATAACAATTTATAAATTATCAAGGGCACATGGGGGAGGGGGAGCGGGGAGGGAGGGGAAAAATGAGGACCTGGTACCGGGGGCTTGAGTGGAGAGGAAATGTTTTGAGAATGATGAGGGCAATGAATGTACAAATGAGCTTTACACAATTGATGTATGTGTGGATTGTGATGAGAGTTGTCTGAGCCTCTAATAAATGATTAAAAAAAAAAATCAAAGGACTGAGTAGCACACTAACCCTATTGAATCCATGGAGAACTTACATGTTCTAGAACAGGGGTTAACAAGCTATCTGGAAAGGCCAGATAGTATTTTAGGCTTTTTGAGCCTGATGGTTTCCTCTGTCCCACCTACTTAACTCTGTCACTGAAGAAAGAAAACAGCCATAGACATTCCATAAACAAGTGATGTGGCTATATTTCAATAAAACTACTGACGGGCAATGAAATCTGAATTTCACTTCACCTTCATGAGGTATAAGATATTCTTCTTTTTTGTTTTTTCCAACCATTAGAAAATGTAAAAGCCAACTTAACTCATGGGACATATAAAAGTAGGCAAATGTTTGCTGTTCCTTGTGTACCAACTTTCGTGCTAGTATTTACACTGACCTTCAAAATAATGTAAGTCCAGTAGCTCCTATCACCCCAGACCTCAACCTCTTTCCCCCTCAAACGTAAATACTTGCAGAGAAAACTTGTTAATTCCAGCAAAGAACAGAAAAATAGAGAAGATGAATGTTCTAAAATAAAATAATCTAAACTGATGATTAAAAAATAAGGGAGCCTCTAACCATTGGAGAATTGCTATTGCTTCTACTTTTATACTTGGAGTCTGTTTTAATATGGGCTAACAAGAGGAAAAGTTAGTTTGAATTAGAGACTTTAAAATGCAATTTTATTGTTCACTAAGGAAGTATCACTGCAAAGCAGAAGGCCTAACAGGCCTGTTTTAATGAATAGATGACTCATCTGTAATCAGCACATTAATTGTTGGGATTCAAATGGGTGCTCTTAAAGTACTGGGAAAAATAGCTTCATTTTTAAAGCAGGTTAAGCATTCCCCCTAGAGCCTTTTTTTTAAAGTATCAATTTGCTTTGCAAACTGTTTCTTTCCAAAGACTGTAGAAGTAAACTTCCATAAAACCCTGACAGATTTATCACAAATTCTAGGCCATTCAATTTCAAATTGAGAGAAAAAAAGAAGAAGAAGAAGAAGAAGAACCTTGCACAAATTTGGGGAAGAAACATCACATTGTCAATTACTTCTGGTATTATAAAATCAATGCCATCATTTACCCTCTCTGTCCCTAGGGATGACACAGTACCTTTTGCCTTTTCTTGACCCTTTCAGATTATTTCGGAATTTGTCCTCATCTTGGAGTTTCACTTCTCTTTCCCCAGTCTGAAGATTCAGTCGCACATGAGATCCTGCAGGGACAGCCTGGCCTAAAAGATAAGAGAGAAGGTTCATGAGGTACAGGATCCTTGCAGGGCCACTGGGATGGAATGGTTGGCCAATAGGACATGAGAGCTATGAAGACCAAATTGTTGTGTTCTTTCCTCTTCAATCCATTCATGTGACCCTCTTTATCATGTTCATCTCTGTAACACATGCACGTGCGCGCACACACACGATTTACCTATATTCCCTCTGCTAATCCATAGGTATAAGAAAATGAGGCAAGATAAACAAAAGAGGCCACATTTGCATCCAGAGACCAACATTCCCTAGCCAGAACTTACATACTGAAGATAGTCTAAGGCCCCAAGGTGGCATAGTGGTTATGCATTGGGCTGTGTTCTGTGAGGTTAGAAGTTCAAAACCATCAACCGCTTCTCTGGAGAAAGAAAGGGCTTTCGATTCCCATAACAGTTACAGTCTCAGAAACTCACAGGGGCAGTTCTACCCTGTGTTACAGGGTCACCATGAGTCAGCATCAACTCAATGGTAGTAAGTTTGGGTTTTTTTGGAAGGAGACACCTAAGTTGGCAGTTCAAAGCCACTCAGTACCATGGAAGAAAAGGACTAGGTATCTTTTTCCATTAAGATTACATCTAAGAAAAAAAAAAAAAAAGATTACATCTAAGAAAACCCTCTAGAGCAAGTTCCGCTTTGTAACACATGGGGCCATCATGAGTCGAATTCACTGGAAGGCAACTCAAAAGAATGTTTTCTTTCCATTGAACTACAGCACCCTGGTAAATACCTACTCATAATTCAGTTATATCACTGCCTGCCCCTCTCCTGGGCTCCACAGAACCCCAGACAGCCTGCCACCCCAGTCTGTTGACACCTCACCATCCTCATCTGTTGAATTGGGCTCTCTCTTCATTGTTTAATCTCCTCTGCCCCATAAAATGTGTGGCAGTTTAATGAGAAGGAAAAAAGTGGATACTGGAAGGCAAGACGGTGTAGCAAGCCAAGGAGGCCAGAATTGCTACCAAGAGAAATTTACAACTAATGCCTACGTGTCTCAGAAGAGCAAACCCACTAATGGGGAAAACAAGGGCTGTAAATTAATGGGATACTTAAAATATACAATTGGACAAATACACAATGATAGTGAAAAAAAGCAACTGTGCAACCTTACATACTACAAAAAGTTTTATATACTTCATTCATCCATCCATTCATGCGATATCTACCAAACCACTACTATATACTAGACACTGAGGTAGGTGTAATATCTACAAAGATGAAAGGTTATGGACAAAAGGATATAGGGCTTCAGGGAAAGAGCTTTTTGTTGACTGGAGAGGGAAAATCAAGAAGCTCTGATCCCTGGACACTGGCTCCAGTGCTGTCTCCTGCCTGAGGCTGACACTGTCTTGCTGGTGATAAGTTTGACTGAAGAACAAAAACAAACAACCCCCCTTTAATCTCTCTACTCGGTATATATCCCAAAGAAATAAAGAACAAAATATGAAAAGATATGCACAAACATGCTTATCACACTGTTTTCTATAATAGCAAAAAGACAAACAATCAAAAAGCTCATCTGTGGAGGAATGGATAAATAAACTCCAAGCATACATACAGTGGAACACTGGGCCTCTCTAAAAAGCAATAGCATCCTGGTGACATAGTAGTTTTGTGTTGGGCTGCTAACCCTAAAATCGGCAGTTCAAAACCACCAGCCGCTCCACAGAGCAAAAAGAGTTACGGTCTCGGAAGCTCACAGGGGTAGTTAGTTCTACCTTGTCCAAGAGGGTCACTGTGAGTTGGCATCAAATCAATGGCAGTGAGAAACAATAATGAAACTATCAAGCACCTCAAGACATAGATGAATTTGCAAGACATTATTCTCAGCAAAGTTAATCTAATAAAGGCAAATACAACATGACACATCATAAAAGGGGGGGGACTAGGAAAAATGGTTTTCACATCAAAAGAAGCAATTTTGAAGGTTATGGCAAGGTCAGGAAGAGAGTGGGTGGGGAAGGACAGGGAGGTGAGGAGAGAGGAAAAATGATGGAGTCGCATATCCAGGGAACTTACTGGAGTGCTGCCACTGTTCGGATGAATTGGGCTGCGTAACTGTGTTTTGTATGTTTCGTGTGTATGACACTCCACAAACCTGTTACTTTCCCTCCCCATCAGATCTCAAAAGTGGCCTGAGTGATGACAAGTAGAGGGACAGCAACCCTGACACTGACGTCAATGCTTTGTTTTATAGCACATGAGCTAGTTGCAAACAGTCAAATACAACATTGTTGCTATAAGCCGAAAGAAATTCAGCGACAAGGAAGGCAATCTGGAAAAAAATTCTTTACAGGGATCCACAAAACACAGGTTCTCACAGAACCATCAGGTAAACTTGAATTCAATCGTGTTCGTAATTCTGTATCCTAGTGAACCCAGTTTCACCAGTCACTGTACCCCATCAGGGTAATAATTATTCAAGAAAACACCAACTCAGACATGTTGTTCCTGTCCTTCCTGCCCGCCTTCAGTAAGGAGTTGCTGTGTCCTTAATAAAATAAAATGGGAACTTCCAATGTGTAACTACATGCTCACATGGGGTCTTTCTTCTAATATAATACCCATCTGTATTAGTCTGGGTACTTTGGAGAAACAAATCCATGGCGACTCACACATAAGAGAGAGTTTTATGTAAAGAAAAGGTGCATCACGAAAACATCCCAACCCAATGCTGCCCAAGCCCACAAGTCCAACATTAA